CAAACGCACCCCCCCCCCCCGGGTCAAGGCAGCCCGGTTGCCCAGCAAAACCAAATTTTGATCATGGGACCATTGGGGGGGGGGTTGGGGGGCTGCAAAAGTCATAAATGTGAAAAGTGGTCGTAAGTCGCTTTTTTTCAGAGCCTTCGTAATTTCAAGCGGACACTAAACCAATGATTGTAAGTTGAGGACAACTTTGGGGGAAAAATAATATTTGGCACCATGCTAAATTTTGTAAGAATCGAAGCTTTTAAAAGAGTTTGCCAAGAGTTTGAAAAAGATTGTTCAAAACGCCAGCCACCGGTTTGGGGTTTTTACGAGGATATAGAATAAATAAAGTTGGTCCCTCAAATGTATGACTACAATTGAGACCAAAATTTATGTTGCTAAGTGAGGCAGTTTTTAAGCGAATTTTGTCCCCTTTTATGCCCTTTCTTGCCATGATTGTTAAGTGAATCTGCTGTTAAGTTAGTAACTCGGTCCTTAAGTGAATCTGGCTTCTCCATTGACTTGGCTTGTCAGAAGGTCGCAAAAGGGGATAGCGTGACCCCAGGACACCGTCATAAATATGAATCAGTTGACCGAGCATCAGAAATCGGTTTGCCTTAACATTTCTGGTAGAGGCAAAACCATTTCTGTAACAAGGAAGTTAATCTGATCCTCAAAACTAAAAATCAAAGTTTCATGATTGTTTTTCTCTGTGTCGAGCATGAAGTTCAGAAGTGGTTTCCGAATGAGAACAAAACTGATTCGTTTCTCCTCTTTAATTAAAGCTGTCAGTTTTGCCTTCTCCTTTACCCTCCTTCTCAGAAATAAAAGGGGATGGGAGCCTTGATGGGGACGGCCGGAGTTTGCAAATTACTCAATTTGTAAAAGGTTTTGCTTTAGTCACTTCCTCAAAAGCGGCGACGAGGACGGGTGTTTTCGCTGACTCATTTGGGCTGGCCAGAAATAACCCCCAAGCGTTTCGTTGTTGTTGTTTTCTTTTTGTCACATCATCGGTAACAAAGGTTGAGTGATGTGGTGATCTAGAGACGGAGCTCTTGCCTCACCATCAGGAGGCTGTGAGTTCGATCCTTGGTAGAGGCAGATAGTTCTCTCTCTGAGAATATACCTGCTGAACAAAACTCTGCATTGGCAACAGGAGAAGCATCCGGCCAGGAAACACTCTGCTTGTTTAATTAATTGATTGATTGATTGATTGATTGATTAATTTATTACTCTAGGATCTCCTGCTTGTTTAATTGTTTAATTGATTAATTGATTGAGTACTCTAGGGTTTCCTGCTTGATTAATTGATTAATTGATTGAGTGATTAATTGATTGATTGATGGATTGACATGAGGGTGCTAGAGTCTCATCCTCCATCATCCCCAGCCAGAAAGGTGTTGGGCTGCACACAGAACTTTGGGATCTGCATGCAACAGAAAGAGTAATACAGGTAGTTCTTGACTTAAAACTATTTGTTTACTGACCGTTCAAAGTTACAACGGCATTGAAAAAAGGAGTACTTGCAACCGTTCCTCGCACTTGTGACCACCACACCATCTCCATGGTCATGTGAACGAAATTCAGGCGTTCG